TCTTTATCTTTCTACAAAGTAATAACTATTAAAACCTATTTGAACATGTGACATGTAATATTTTATTTATTCGTCTTATATTCCATCTATTAATACCAAGGTATATTTTTTTATTTTTTTTTATTGATCCAAAAATATATTTACAACCCGGCATCTATGGCCATTAGTTACAGAAATTAGTTAATTACAGAAAAATTTTAGATGGAGTAGAATAAATTAGTTGATTTTAAGAAATCTAACATCTTGATGTTGTCCTCTGTTTCTGGTCCTAGAGCGGTGTCGAGTAACGTGTCGATTCCGATCCTTTGTCTATCCTGTTCATATTTGAGACATTCTGATAATATGTGTTTTACAGTCAGMCAGAAAAAACTCCAGCCCTGGATAGTTATTTTCACAAATAACACGCATTTACTTACCTACCTAGCTATACCTACCTACGTATAAACAAGGATTTCGTTTCGTCCCTTTGCAGCGTCTCTGGGAGCGTTCGTCATCGGCACAGTGCTCGGATGGTCCTCGCCAACACTGACAATGTTTGAGAATGGGACCGCTGTTAGCTTCGAAGTGTCGGCCATGGCCGCGGCGACCGCGTGCTCGCTGTTCGGCGTGGGCGCCGTGATCGGTGCCGTTCCGGCTGGTGCCGTGTCGTCAGTATTCGGCCGGCGCGTGTCGCTCATCGTCAGCGAGGCCCACGTGGTCTTCGGGTGGCTGATGATCGCGTTTCCGAAGGCCGCACGGATGCTGTACGTGGGCCGGATATTGCAGGGCGTAGGGTGCGGTGCCATGTGCACCATAATACCCATGTACATCGGCGAGATAGCCGAACCCGAAATCAGAGGTTTTTATTCCAACCGTTTTTTTATTAATATATTATGTGTTATATTTTATATATATATATATATATAGGTCATAAGCTGGTTTTTAGATTTAAAAAACATTATGATAATATAGTATGTCTCCCCGAACAAAACTAGATGAAACGAAAATATTATATCCGTCTGATGATAGCATATTGTATTTCGGATTTTTACGACGACTMGCGGTATTCGAAGAATGTTATGCACTGGAGAAAATAAAAAGTTAGACGTGCACTCCGTCCTAACAGTTATTGCCACGTATAGTATTTACACATTGAAAAAAAAAACACTTCTGTAAAAGAAAAATGATCGTTACGAAAATTTTAGATTGAAAAACTTGATAACAATTATGTAAATATTAATAATTCATAATTGAATGTTATGATGAATAATACTTAAAAAGCGGAAAAGTGGGTATCGCTCTGCTGTACATTAGGTGGTGGGGTGGACCT